ACAGATACTGGGTTTTTTACAAATTGAAGGTTTGTGGCAACCCTATGTCAAGCAAGTCTGTTGGTGAGTTTTCCCACAGCATCTGCTCACTTCGTGTCTCTGTGTCAAGCTTGATAATTCTCACAATATTTTAAACGTTTTCATTATTATTATATTTGTTATGACGATCTGTGATCAGTGGTCTTCGAGGTACTTTTGTAAAGGTTTTGGGGTGCCATGAGCTGGACCCCTCTACGATGGTGAACTTCATCGATAAATGTTGTGTGTGCTCTGACTGCCCCACCGGCCAGCAGTCCCCTCGCTCTCTTTCTCTCCTCGGGCCTCTCTCCTCCCTGAGACACAACAGTATTGACATCAGGATGGTGAATAACCCCACCATGACCTCTAAGCCTTCAAGTGAAAGGAAGAGTCATTTGGTGCGGCCGACTTGATTGCTGTCTTACTTGAAGACTTTGCCACAGCTGCCCCCACCGTCAGCAACCCCCGCCTGCTCAGTCAGCAGCCTCAGCATTGAGGCAAGCCCTCCACCAGCCAACAGATTGTCACTCATTGGAAGCTCAGATGACAGCATTTTTTAATCAATAAAATATATATTTTTAAAAGATTTTATTTATTTATTTGAGAGAGAGAGAGAGAATGAGAGGGAGAGGGAGTGAGAATCTGAAGCAGAGTCTGCACTGAGCACAGCCCGACACGGGCTTGATCCCACAACCGCGGGATCATGACCTGAGCTGAAACCAAGAGTTAAGCTTACCTGACTGAGCCACCCAGGTGCCCCATCAATAACATATTTTTAAATTATGTATGTTGTTTTTTAGGACACAGCACTATTGCATACTTCATAGGCTACAGTATAGTGTAAACACAACTTTTATATGCACTGGGAAGCCAGAACATTCATTTGACTAGCTTTGTTGCAATATTTCCTTGATTACGGGGGTCTGGAACTGGACCTGAACCTGCAGTATCTCCGAGATATGCTTGTATGCGTTGTCAACATGACTTCCCAAGTTTGAGTCCAATTTACACAGCCACCAGGAATGAGTGAGCTTATTAATTACCCTGCAGACTTATTTATGGTGCTTTTAAACTTAAAAGTTATTAATTTAATAGGCATTTCTGCCAAATTAAAAGTTATTCATTTAATAGGCATTTCTGCTACATTAAAATTTAGTAATTTAATAGGTATTTCTGCTACATTTTCACCGTGTAAGCTGAAGTGAGACAGTATTGTATAATGGGAGTGCGTGGGCTAGATATTTTGTTTAAATCCACATTTTTCCAGATGTGTGACCTCTGTAAGCCTGTTTCCTATAATTATAAAATGAGGTTACAAATCTGATATTCAGTGTTATAAAGAATAAATGGAAACATACACATTCGTACATATACGCTTACATCATGTACATGCATCCACACACACACACATGCACACACACCCTGTAATTTGGTACCTGGCATAGAATAGGTACATATTAAGTGACAGGTCATGTAAAATTAAATATATATTGTATATTAGTAATGTGTGGCAGAAGAGTAATAATTGGAATGTTTTGCTGTAGCTACTGTATATAGTGAAAAGAAATGGAATTTAGGATTTACAAACCTGTGTGCCTATCTAATACTATGTGAAATGAATGTCGTGTCTGTAGAATGTTCAAGAAAATTGCATAAAAAATTAAATTTGGTTCCTGAAGCAGTGCTGTTCATAACTGGTTCCTTCTCTCCAGGAAATTGAGCAATGAGTTGGTCAAAATAGATCTCCTTGAATTCATTTTAAAAGCCAAAATTATTATCTCACCTGCCTTCCTTCCCTTTAATTCATTAAACAAATATTTATGGCCAGGCATGGTTGTAACTCCAAGGATAGAGTGATGGACAAGATCAACAAGATCCTTTCTTTTTAAGAGTTTACATCCTAATTCTAAATAAGCAAACTGGTTTCCTCTCAGCTGGCGTGAGTCCCCCTAGAGTCAATGATGAGACGCAAGGCCTGTGTGTGGCCCCAGGAGCAGAGGAACGTGGTATTTCCCGGTCTCACTGGCTGGTACTGTGTTGCTGACTAGTCCTCTTGCTTTACAAAAATACTGAATCCATGGAAAATTGTTATTTTTGGTATCATGTTTTCTTTTTTTGATAAAACTTAGAAGGGTTATTAGACTTATGTGATCATAAGAGATGATCGTAGCTATGATTTACTGCTGGTGAAATGATGATATATAACAATGGGAAATATGATTAAGTTGAGAAATTACACACAATCTTTTTAAGAACACAGCTGTTGTAGAAAATGAGGTATCTGTATTTGCTTTAGAGACAATACTGCCGTAATGTTTTTTTGTAAAGCATATAATTGTAATGTAGTAAAATGCTTATGTGAAAATGGGGATGTTGAATAATCTTACTAGGGAATCTTCAGGGTTTGTCAAATTGCTTTCTCTATTTAGAAAAATAAAATATCTCATATTGTGGTAGAAATGGCAGTACATCTGTAAGTGCTATAATGTTTGAATAGACTGTAAGCTCCTTGATGGAAATCACACTATGATGTCTCATTATCTTCAAACAAAGCAAGAAAATCCACTGATGACAATTCTGTTAGCCTTATTTGATGATTAAAATGCTTTTCAAAATTCTCATACTTTAGTAAGTGTATTTCTTAGCAAGAACATGTTAGTGTGTTATGACTGATAAATAGTAAATATTAATGTATATACTCTGTGTCTGTTTCTAAACTCTAACTTGATATGATTTTTTCTTTATAATCTGAGCTTTAATTACTCCCTTTTGGTCAATTATATATAGATGTATATCAAAAGGTAGATAGTATATATTATTTATTTTTCATCTACTGGATCAGGGACTGGGTTATATTTCTATTTCAATGGACAGCACACTTCTTGTCACAGTAAGCTCATTAAATATTTTTTAAATGATTAAAAGTCTACATGAATTCTTCCTGTACAACGTGATGGATTTTTATGTTTGTTATCCCATCAGGTTGCTTTATTGTCTTGAGAGGCTTCAAATGTTTGACTTAAAGGTGCATCTTACCACCTGTCACTACCAATTCTCATGCAGTTCTGACCTTTTACCATCTGTACCTTCTTCAGGAACATTTTACAGCAAGATAAATGTTAAAACTCACAGTGCTTTTTGGCCAGTCTTCTCCAGGATGTGTGTATATGAGTGTGTGTTTGTGAGTGTGTCTGGTAATAATACTTGTAGAGAATTTTAAAATGATAGAAAGTAACAAACAAGGAAAGAATATTTACATTAATCCTACTACCCTCATATAGCCACTATTAATATTTTGCTGTGCCTTTTCAATTGCTTTTCTATGATTGTGTGTTTGTATGTATGGACAAATATCTATGTATAGTGCCTTGCACAAAGAAGGTGCTTTATAAATATGTTGGATAAATGAATGTCTCAATATATGTAAAAATTTATATTTTAAAATTTAGGATAATATAATCTGTTTTATGTTTTATGTACTTACTTTGATTTTACTTAACATAGAAAATTCTCAAGGTATTTTGTTACTTAAAAAATACAGTTTTCGGGTAAGTCGGAGGGGGAGACGAACCATTAGAGACGATGGACTCGGAAAAACAAACTGAGGGTTCTGGAGGGGAGGGGGGTGGGGGGATGGGTTAGCCTGGTGATGGGTATTAAAGAGGGCACATTCTGTGTGGAGCACTGGGTGTTATGCACAAACAATGAATCATGGAACACTACATCAAAAACTAATGATGTATGGTGATTAACATAACAATAAAAATTATTTAAAAAAAATTTGTCTCAAAAAAATACAGTTTTCGGTAACTTCAAAATCATATGTATATATGTGCCTGTGTATATAGGTACATGTATTAGTCTTTTTGACCTTTTTCTCATATTAATATTATTTTGTGTTTTTGCTGTAATAATGTTCTGATGTATATTTTTACTATCAACTTTTATCATGACTGCTTAGTATGTTAATCCTAGAGGGGGAATTACTGGGACATAGAAGCATAAACTTAAAACAATTATCAATACTTTTCAGATTTTTATTATTTAAAAATGATATTTTTATTGAATTACAAAGGATAGCTATTGATCTAGAAAATTTGGAAAGCAGAAAAATAAAGTGGGAAGAAGCCATAATCCTGGCAGCTAAAGATGACTTCACTTAAGATTTTGATTTACATAATTTTAGTCTTTCACATTTCAATTATGTATTTTACCAAAAAGGATCATTTTCTTTTCTAAACTGCTGTTTTTTTCCACTAGTAGTGTATCATTAACATAGTCTTTCTCTGCCATTAATCTTCTATAATGTAATTTTACAGCCTATTATTAAAATGACACATCTGTACAATGCATTTAATTAACCCCCTCTTGGTGGACCTGTAGTTTGTTTCCAATGTTTCATTATTATGAGGAGTTCTAGGATAAAAACCCTCGTGTTTGTCCCTTGGGCACACTCACCGTAATCGCATTAAGACAAATTCCTGGAAGCAGAATTGCTGGTTCAAAATTATACATGAATAATTTTTAAGGCTTTTGACATATATTTCCACATTGCCTTCCAAAGGTTGTACCAAGTGACATTCATCCCAAAAAGAGGTATGAAAGCGAAAGGAGATTGTACAGATATTTTCAGGTCATTCACCTTAAAATGAACCAAATCATGTTTTAGAAAACCGGTACCTGTTTACTCTTCTTTGAGAGGAGTAAGAAACTACCCATTTTAAGTGTTTATCAGCGGTCTTCTTGGCAGGGGATGTATTCATAGGCCTGTTCTGAAACAGGAGAAACTGGGTATGGACTGGTTAGATGACTACCAAATGCTCATGGCAAGTGAGAGATAAGGTTTTTATCAGTTGCTGGGTCTCCTGATGACCTCTTTGATGAATCAGCCTGCTTGTATATGTATATATGTTTATCTTCAGTTAGATACTGTTTTTCTGCTACTAACTGTTTCAAGAAAAGTCACTGTGTTTTCTTTTCAGTCCCTTCAGTGACTGCACAAGAGGCGTGGTCATGGGAACAGTACTTGACAGAACAGAAGGCGACAGCAGCACCCGTTGAACTGTTTTCCAAGGTGAACCACTAACAGTCTTATGTTTTGGCAAGGAATGAACACTTAAGAGAAGTAACTAAAAGGAGATCATTTGCCTACACAGAACATCCAACTTACTTGATTTGTAGGTTTCACTGGAAAATTACATAACAAAGCTAAGGGAAGCCTTAGTGATTCAGAGCCAGACTGGAGTGTGTCCTGGAGCTGGACTCCCTGGGTTTGAAACCCAGTGCCACTACCTTCCAGCTCTGTGACCTTGGGCAAGTCATTCAGTCTCTCTGTGCTTCAGTTTCCTCATCTGTAATGTAAGGAAATTACCATACCTACCTCCCGGGGTTGTTGGAGGATGAAATTAGTTTACATGTAGAGGGCATTGGATGCAATGTATGTGCACATAATGAAAAATACGTGCTAGTCTTTCTTTGTATTAGCAGATATTACTTGCACAGGACAACCCACGGATCAGGTTCGAGGGATCTGTTTTGATGTGTTGCATGGAAGTGGTGGGTCAGGCAACATGTTGGAGGAGACAGTGAAACCCCTAAATTACATTCTACCTAACAATGCCAAGAGCAGCAGTCTGTGTGGGCTTGCTTGACCAAGTGACTTTTGGCACGGGGTGCTTCTGACTTCACGGGGATCATCTTTACCCAGGGTACCAAATCTTTTGCTACCCTATCTATTCTTCTTGGTCTGTGTTTTCAATGTTTCAGGGGGATTTATATAAAAAATTGCATCAGATTTGCATCATTATATTGCATTTTAGTCAGCAGTGAGAAGCTAACGCTCCTTATTTGCTTTACTTTTCAGGACATTTTTGTTGAGTTACATCTAGTACTTTTTATTATGTAAAAGGACTAGCAATTTTTTTAAAGATTTGTATTTGTTTATTTTAGAGAGAGAGAGAGTGCAGCAGGGAGGGGCAGAAGGAGAGGGAGAGAGAATCTCAAGCAGACTTCCCAATGAGCACAGAGCCCAACACAGGGCTCCCTCTCATGACCTTGATATCACGACCCCGAGATCAGGACCCAAGCTGAAACTAAGAATCAGATGCTCAACCGACTGAGCCATCCAGGTGCCCCAAAAGGGCTAACAATTTTAATCCTGGCCATGGAAATAGAATGGGGGAGATGTGAAGCAAATAGGGAAAGAAAGAGAAACCAAGTGCTGGCAGCTCACATTTAAGAAATACTAAATATTTTGTGTGCTGGGTGATAGACATTGGGGAGGGTATGTGCTATGGTGAGCGCTGTGAATTGTGCAAGACTGTTGAATCACAGAGCTGTACTTCTGAAACAAATAATGCAATATATGTTAAAAAAAAAAAGAAGAAGAAGATAGCAGGAGGGGAAGAATGAAGGGGGGGAAATCGGAGGGGGAGACCAACCATGAGAGATGATGGACTCTGAAAAACAAACTGAGGGTTCTAGAGGGGAGGGGGGTGGGGGGATGGGTTAGCCTGGTGATGGGTATTAAAGAGGGCACGTTCTGTGTGGAGCACTGGGTGTTATGCACAAACAATGAATCATGGAACACTACATCAAAAACTAATGATGTAATGTATGGTGATTAACATAACAATAAAAAAATTAAAAAAAAAGAAATACTAAATATTTCATACTCAGCCCAATCTTTACATCAGATGCCTTTATGGAGCTTTGGAAAACCCAGATGTATGGTGTTCCTGAGACCTATTAACTTAGAACCTCAGCGGGTGGGGCCTGGTACCCTGGAGCTTGAGAACCTCCTCAGGCTTCTGTGTGCAAGATGGAGGTCCAAGGTGGTAGTAGCTTGTAAGAACTGTGCAGTCCCTGCTCAGGCAGGAGTCAGGTCCCTGCTGACTCGTGATGAGACTGTCAGGTAATGAGACTTAGGGTAAGCTCCCTAGGTAAGGGTCTCTTCTTCCTTCTCTTTCATGTTTCCTCACAATGTCTGTTCTTAGTGTGCTCATGACCAGTCAATGTTGAACGACTTCTGGGTAACCTCTTTTCATGCCCGAGCATGGAAGTTCCTTAAAGAGAGTTGGCTCTGACTGGGGCAATCCAGTGCAGCCTGTAGTTGCCCTTTCTCTCTGTCTCTGAGCCCATCTTGTGCCCATGCTGTGTGGTCGCTGCAGGTCAGGAGGGTGGAGTGGGCAGGCCCCAGATCCAGCTAAGGCCTGTCAGGAGCTGTGAGCCCCAAGGGCAGATGTAGTTCAGCTGGGTCCAGGGTGCGAGGTTCAACCACAGGACACAGGCCAGGCTTGTGACTCAGTGGCGGGGCATGGATGGGATCTCTGTAGGGTCTCAAGGCAGCCAGCGACCACAAAAATGTAAGACCAGTCAGTGATTGAGGTCAGGACTTCCATGTAGCAAAATTGGCCATGAGTGATGCAGGGTCTTAGGAATCAGACCCCTGTGTGTCCCTAGACCGGAGTCCTCTCTTCCCTCCATTGAGAATTGAACCACATGTTAGCGTGTTAGGCTGAAATGGACTCTTGTTTCTGGAGCAAGGCAGGTTTCAGCTGTTGGCAGAGAGCTGTTAGGTTCTGAGCAGTGCCTGCATTCTTCCCTCAGCTCAGCCAGTGAGTGGATTAACATGGTTTCTCGGTTTCTCCTCTAGGACACTTCAAGGTCCATCAACTAGCGCAAGAACATCCGCAGAACAGAGAATTTCTCCCCCGGTTTTTCCCTCGTGACCTAGTATTAACTAAAAAAACCTCCAAGGGGGCAAATGTGAGGTTCCTGTTCCTGAAATAAATCCCTATTTCAACATTGGGAATTGTGTAATAGTAGGTTATGGGTCATAGAACTTTCTCCCTTGACTTTATAGAGATCTGACAAGAGAGGTACTGCGCGCGCTAAGTGAGGGGACACGTGGCATTGTAAAGGCAGAGGTGGGCTCCCTCTGGAGGGTGTGAGGAGAATCCATGACTCTCTCCACAGAGGAGAGATGAGCAGTGAGCAAGGGACGCCATCTTGGAGGATTCCTTGGCTAGAAATGTGACTTTAAAATATGACTTTCTCAAGCTTATGGACTCTAATTTTTGTCAACTCTGAAAGTGACCATAAAGTCTGAGCATGTGCAAAAGTGGACGTGCCTGACCTGTTGGCATGCCTTTCTCTTCACTCAGAATTTAACAGTCAAGCTAGTCACGTCATTGAGTAGCTTGACTATCTGTACAAAGCATCATTTATACGGACTGAAACACTAGGGAGTTTATAACATGGTTGCTTAAAATCTTGCCGTCTACTGGGATGTAAGATATGCCTGAAAACATGACAGCAGTGTGAGGTAGAATGTTCATTGTCAGCAGAATGTACAAGTAATGAGTTTCCTAGGTATTCCGAGCAGAGGTGGTATCTCCTCCAACCCTGAATGAGGAGGAAGAAGCTTACCATTTATTAGGTCTGATTTGTCCTGATGACTGAAGATGCTTGTATTCAAATACAGTGTTACTCTGACTGGACATTTATAGTCTGAGATGAAGTGACATGGTTTATAATTGAAAATAGCATTCAGTAGAATAAAAAAGGCAGGTAGTTCAGGCCAATCTTCCAAGAAGGATGAACAGATTGAACTTAGTTTTAGAGTGACATTGTGCTCTTGACTCTTACTGTCCATTTTAATTGTGTAAATATTGTAATAATGGTGTTCAGTTCAGCCAGCTAAGATGGAACTTCTCAGCTTTTGACACGGAAATGTTGAAAATAAAATGAAAATAGTTTGCATATCCTGATTGGAAAATTATTAAAAAGATATTGAGTATTGCTTTACTTTTACTATATCATTTCCATCCTAATACTCAAGTTTTAGAAGGTGTACCAGTGACAGACACACAAGTGAGCAGTTCTATCATGCAAATCAGACATGTATCCTATGAAGAAAATGTGTGTGTATATATGTGTGTGTGTGTATATATATATATATATATTTGTGTGTATACATTTTTAAAAGAGTATGCTTATTTTATTTGCACACAAGCTTTTTGCATATCTATAGGCCTATTTTGAATTTCTTTTTGTACAAGACAAAGTAAAGTGTTTTATAATTTATGGTTTATTTTACCATCTGGGGTAGTGAGTGTACAAGGATATAAACATCTTCTGTTGACAGAGAATATAAAAACATTTTCTCTTCATTACTGGTGAAATGGGCCTATCTTGATTTGATTCAAACTTTAAAATATTTTTTCCTTTGGTTTTGAAATTGGTTCTAAAACTTTTCTCTCTTATCTGTCCCTGCCAGTCATCTAACCATCCACTGTATCTCCCTGAAACATTCTTCCCACCCTGTTGCCCATCACAAGTTCAAATATGCCAGCCTGGAATCCAAGTGCCCACAGTCTAGTCCCATCTGTAGGTGCACATGAACACAGAGCTTCTTCCGTGCCGGTCAGCCTGTTGCTGCCCTGCTTAACTATTCAGAGTCTATCCATGTGTGAGGCCTCTGTGTCTCCTCTTGTTCTCTGAACTTCGTAGGTCCATGTCCCCCCAAGACTCTCCCCCTTCAGGAAGCTGTCCCAGCCTGTGCCATCTGACCTGTGGACTTGGCAGCCTCTGTCTGCCCAGCTCCTGCTGGTGGGAGTGAGGCTTGGGGGACAGTATAGGACCAGCAGGAAGGCAAGTGCTGTCCCTTGTGTTATCTGGCCACAAGCCAAAGGGACCTCCACCTGCACCTATCCCAGCATTCTGGGGGCAAGTCTGACCGAGGGAGCATAGCCCTACCTCACCCTAAACTGTCCTTGTCCCACAAACCACAAATCCCGGTTGTCCTTAGTCACTGGCCCAGAAAGCTCTGCTTTTTATGCCCAGCAGCTGATCCTGTCTCCCCAGCCAGTGGGTGGCTGAGTAGATAGGCTAAATGCGTGCTTGGGCCCCTGCAGGTCAGGGACACTTGAATATTTTTAAATGATTGGTATTTCAGAACAAGATGAAAGTCATCATGGAAAAGCTAAAATTCTTGGACTTCTCTGTGTGTCTTTTATAGTGTAGTATATAGTTGTAGTTTGAATTTTATATAGCAAGGGGGTTTTTCTTTTT